ACGAACTTCTTGATACGGTTTAAAGTGCGCGTGATCCCTTGGTGTCCTCCGAACTTACTAGCGTGGAACCACATCAATACCTGCGCACGGTATTTTGATGGCACAAACACACGTCTCGACACTCTTCCGTAAGGAACTCCTTTGTACCAGTCGAGCACTCCTTCGGGTAATTCTGCTGCGTCACGCTGCGCTTCCTCCTTCATCTCTGCTGGCGACGGAAGGCTGTATTCTTGTGATGTTTCGTGCACCAAGTGGAATACTGCCGGCACATAAATATGCTCTGGAATGCCTGAATCATCATCTTCTGGCACTGATCTTGACAACCAATCTGCGCAACACCATTGTGCCGACCGTCAACCCTTCTCACAATTGGAAGTAATTCGCAGCTGCACAAAAGGCGAGGACACTCTTCTTCTCCCTGGGTGCCACTGCCTTCCCTAACGCTTTGACCTTCGCTGGGTCGGGAAGTAGAGTTCCTTGGCGGACCCAATGCCCGAGGTAAAGCAATTCCTCTCTCAAGAAATACGCCTTGTGCAAATTCACGAAGAATCCACCCTTTCTGAGACACTCGAATACCTGCCGCAGCACTTTCACGTGCGAGGCGACATCATCAGTGAAAATCATAATATCATCAATGTAGACACTAACGTGACCCTTGTCAATAACCGTCCGCAGCGCCTTCTCAACAGCACGTTGAAAGGTGCTCGGACTCACTTTCAGCCCAAATGGCATTACTGTCCAGACGAAGACACCCCTTTCAGGCGCAACGAACCCGGTATACTGTTGTGATTCCTCGTGCAGTGAAACGTTCCAAAATCCCCAGTTCAGGTCGACTAAACTGAACACCTTGGCGCCTGACAGACGATCCTGGGCATTCGGAATTTGATATCCATCGCTTGTTGTCAGTGAATTAACGTAGCGGTAATCCATCACCAGTCTCCACTTCGTGCTTCGTGGCTTAGGAACCAAATGGCAAGCTGCTACCCAATTGCAATCTGGCACCAGCTTTCAACAAATCATCAATTTGGCGATTTAGCTCTCCTCGCAGATGGATTGGTGTTGGTCGCGCTCTCACTCTTTTGGGTGGGCCTTTAACTTCAATACTCATCTTGACCGTTGTACATCTCCCCGTACGCGGGTTTTCCCAAAGAATATGCACCGTACGCGGGTTTTCCCAAAGATCTGCATATTCGAGAACCAGCTCCTTCAGCTTGTTTCTCTCATCTGAAAACACCATATAACCACCTTCACACTTTCGCCGCACTCTCGTACGATTTTTGCTAGACAGTGTGTGGATTCTCCTCCCCTATGCTAAAGGCTTGCAGTCTCTGGCTTCTTGCATTTGGGTGATCAATCCAAACCAAGCCAGCACCTAAGTGCAACACAATTCCAAGAGCACGCATCAAGTCCCTTCCAGCAATTGTGTCAGCGTCTTCGTCAAATACGGCAAACGACGTAAAAACAATGCTGCCCCCTAGGGATACCGCTACTTCCTTTGTCTTCTTATGCTTTTTCGTACATCCCCGCACGTCTCGTATCACGATCATCTGAGCTTTAGGATCCACCTCTATCCCAAGCTCGGCCGCGCACTCTGCGGAGATACATGATATTTCAGCACCAGAATCCAGTAGCATTTCACATTCAACGCCATTGATTCTAGCGCTCACCACAGGAGCCCCACTCTTTCGGGACATCACTTCGATGTCAACCTTCTTGGCATCATACACTTGATCCGGGTCCTCTAACCCGCAATTTTCATCATCTGGAAGCTCAAAATCTTCCTCCACCTCTTCCACAACGCCCACTTGCGTTGCTTCTTGTATTACTCGTTGGCGTGCTGCCTGCTTCGATCAGAACCAAACTGAAGGATAAAAGTTCACTGTCTTAGCGCTTGTCCAGTCCCTACATGCTCCATGTGTCTCGCTGTGGCAACACAATCAGTTCTTGAGTTTTTTTGCTCTGTTCCTCAACTCATCAATTTTGACACAAATCAACCTCTGCCCACAGCGATGAGTACCAACACGCTCCTCCAAATATTGGACCTCGTCGGAACGATAATCAGTCCGACGACTTTGTATTTTATTTCAGTACCATTGAGTTTGGCATTTGCCATCTTTATTTTTGTACAAGTCTATCCCTTTGTCCGTAGGACCCTGGTGGTCTTATTTATTATTAGCGGACTTGCGGCCTCTGCCATCGTTGGGAGAACCATTTACGTTGTCACCCCAATCCTGTACCGTACGTTTTGGACTTCTCTGTGGACCGCCATCGACGCTTATGACCAGAAGCTCTCCCACTGGGGTGATGGAGTATCAACTACCATCATTGAATCTACCCCATCACAAGTTTCCAATGGACCATGGACCCCCATTGCATTCGGTATACTCGCGTTGTCTGTGTGGTTACAGCGAGGACCTTTCCACTCGTTTCGCTGGTGGCTTTGTCAATACATTTCTCTTTTGGCGCGCGTATCGGTTCCTCGCACTTTCGTTGCTTTTATGCGTTGTTTCTAACAACCGGTTCACCAGTCCAGCCACCGCCTCAAGTTGTGCAGGGATTGTATTATCGATGGGCTGCTCGATAAGAATTGCCTTTTGTTTTGGAGTAGCAATTAAACGCCGCTCTCCGCATTTGTCCTTTAAAACTTCACTTCGGCAAGTGATGGAGAAATGGCCATTCTTTCCGCACTTTTCACACTTTGCTGTTTCTTTATGTGGGCATTGGACTTTCATATGTTCCCCATTGCAAACAAAACACCTGATTCTGGACCGGTAATTCATCTGTATGCTGTTTTGCATTTTCTTCAGAGCCAAACTCCAATGAGTCCTCCATTTCCAATGCCACCGAAAAAAACTCCTGCACCGTAAATTCCCGATTCAAATAAATGCGCTTTAAATGCTTTGCAACTTCCAATGGGACAAGACTGTAAGCCATTTGCCTGAATTGAGCATCTCCCATCACCCGATGTCGCGACCTTCTGTCGCACAAGAATGTATAATTCTGCACATGTCCGGTGAACTGAGCGAAAGACTGAAAAACTGTTGCTTCCCGCTTTAATGTAAACAAAGAGCGCTCATAATTCTCCAGCGTTGCATTTCCTCGAAAGATCTTTCTTCCAATCGCATCCGCAACATCTTCAACACAAATTTCCCACATAACGGTAGGACCGAATTTAAAACCAAACGTAATTGAGGGGTTGTTGACAATTGCATTACTTTTACCATGGTGGTTGCCGTTACACCATGCGCCAAAACTTTAAATGATGCGTCATCAAACCAGTCTTCCATTTCGATTTCATCCTTTGGCTCAAATGGCTTGAAATCCAATTGGTTTCGCCATTTTGCTATTGTCCACGTTGCTGAACCTGATAATTCTTCTTCGGGGAACCGTCCTCTTCTTTCAGCGGGGTCAACAAATGGCGACTCTCAAGACTTGCGCTCCTGATTCCCGGAGCAGCCCCCAGTTGACCTGAGAAGCCGTCTTGTAGTCCTTGTTGGTTGGCAACCCCGGATCCGCTGGGTGTTGCCGGCTCTTCAATTGTGGGCAGCTGCTATAGGTATGCCCGGGATTCTCCCCCAATTATCTCGTCAATCGCTTGCATGTCCATTGCAGTTCTCGTAAAAAAAACAACCACACGAACAAGAAAAGCAAACAAAAGGAAAAAGGCCAGTAAGCCCATGCGATCTGTCTGTGCTTGGGAAGCGGGTACTGCTTTGGAATCCAAACTCTTGCGAGGCACCTGAAACACTAATGGAGAGAGGGATCATGAAAGTAGCGTAAATACAGATCAGCGGGATCCAATGTAGAAGATATAGATGGAGTAGTGCTGCTGGAGTGGCGTACGAATGTTTGTGGCTTTGAGCACGTAGTTTTTTAGTCTTCAGCGAGGCAGTTGAACTCAGGAAAGACAATTCTCTGGGGAACTGAGATTTTTTGTAGCATTTAGGTTTTCTGCTGCGCCTAAGTCTGCACTGATAGTAGTGTCTTTTTCATGTCCACAATGTCCACCAATTGATCTACATGTTGCAGAATCCATGTAGTCGCGCAAGGGAGAACGGGATGGTGTGTCTTTGTGCCTTGAAAACGTATTCAGCCGATTCCCAGTACTCAAGAACTTCTCGGTTTTCTCTCTCCTTCTTCTTTCATTCTTGATTACATGTGCGGCTATCTTTTTCTCTTTATCTCATGCCTTGTGTCTTTTTCTGTCCCATTACATGGGTTCCGCGTGCATACGTGTCCCTTACCGCTTGCTTGCAAACGTTGCTCGAACTCACATTGCGATTGGTTTCTGTCTGGATCTCTTAATTGAGACAATTTTCTCTCTTTCTCGTACTTATATTCATGTCATTGGTAGCATGCTGCGCCGTAGCGGGAGTGATCCATTTTTGAACAATTCTGCACCATTAACCCTCGAACGAACCGAACGCTCCCTACGTTCAACAGGAGCCTACGATCGTGGAGGCAGCTGCAATGACTTAGGCTATCCAACACATCCATATGCTGGAGAGCAAGGTTCCGTATGACGTCAAGAACGGAGGGTCCGCAAGAACTCTTCTTTCTGTTTTTATTTTATTCGTGTTTTATGTTTGTTTTACGTGTAGTTGTTGAAAAATGTCGATCGAAGTCAATGAGGTTTTCACTCAATTGAGTTTCAACCTCATCAATTTCTCTTTCAATGCAGTGAATCAGGGGCCAGTAGTAGTTGTAGTGGTACTCGATCCTGGTGCAATTGGTATTAGCGGCCCCTGAACACATCAGAGTCTCAATTACTGCACTTCATTCATTGGACTTACGATCAGTTTTGTAATTTTCAACAACGATTTTTTGAGAACTTTGAAAAGCTTGTCAACAGATTCCACCAAGTCCTTTTCATCATCAAAGGTTTCGACATTGACGCTTCTCACTTCTGCAAGCGTCAAAACTACAATAGTGCTACGTGTCGCTGCATCGCTTTAGGGCTAGACACAAAAACCCACATCGAGAATTGTCGATTCATCACCATGCCTATGCCCAATTCAGCCCTTCAAGAGTTATGTGTAGGGTTCTTGGAGTCTATGTCCGCGGCCGTTCAACTTAGCACTTCCGGAAAAGAGAGTCGTCTTGAAGGAATGTGCAAGAGTAAAGAATGGACTACACATGTCTCGAACCCACTTCCTGCCGGCTCACCTACTACAACAATAATAACCGCAACCACAACAACCACCACTACTACCACAACCGGTGAATATCCCACGACCACTATAAGCAGCACCACAACAACCACTACTACCACAACCGGTGAATTCCCCACGACCACTATTAGCAGCACCACAACAACCACTACTACCACAACCGGTGAATTCCCCACGACCACTATTAGCAGCACCACAACAACCACTACTACCACAACCGCTCAATTCCCCACGACCACTATAAGCAGCACCACTATAAGCAGCACCACTATAAGCAGCACCACAACAACCACTACTACCACAACCGGTCAATTCTCCACGACCACTATAAGCAGCACCACAACAACGACTACGACAACAACACCACAACAACCACCACCACGACAACTACGACAACGACAACTACGACAACGGCAACTAGTGGGGAATTCACCGGTTGTGGTAGTAGTGGTTGTTGTGGTGCTGCTTATAGTGGTCGTGGGGAATTGAGCGGTTGTGGTAGTAGTGGTTGTTGTGGTGCTGCTAATAGTGGTCGTGGGGAATTCACCGGTTGTGGTAGTAGTGGTTGTTGTGGTGCTGCTTATAGTGGTCGTGGGGAATTGAGCGGTTGTGGTAGTAGTGGTTGTTGTGGTGCTGCTTATAGTGGTCGTGGGGAATTCACCGGTTGTGGTAGTAGTGGTGGTTGTTGTGGTTGCGGTTATTATTGTTGTAGTAGGTGAGATTGGGCTTGTTGTTATTGGGGTTGTTGTTGTCGTCGTTGTTGTTGTTGTTGCCGTTGTCGTAGTTGTCGTTGTCGTAGTTGTCGTTGTGGTGGTGGTTGTTGTGGTTGTTGTTGTCGTAGTCGTTGTTGTGGTGCTGCTTATAGTGGTCGTGGGGAATTGAGCGGTTGTGGTAGTAGTGGTTGTTGTGGTGCTGCTTATAGTGGTCGTGGGGAATTGAGCGGTTGTGGTAGTAGTGGTTGTTGTGGTGCTGCTTATAGTGGTCGTGGGGAATTGAGCGGTTGTGGTAGTAGTGGTTGTTGCGGTGCTGCTTATAGTGGTCGTGGGGAATTGACCGGTTGTGGTGGTAGTGGTTGTTGTGGTGCTGCTAATAGTGGTCGCGGGAAATTCACCGGTTGTGGTAGTAGTGGTTGTTGTGGTGCTGCTTATAGTGGTCGTGGGGAATTGACCGGTTGTGGTAGTAGTGGTTGTTGTTGTTGTGGTTGTCGTGGTTGTTGTCGTTGTTGTCGTGGTTGTTGTTGTCGTTGTTGTTGTAGTTGTGGTTGTTGTTGTGGTTGTCGTGGTTGTTGTTGTGGTTGTCGTGGTTGTTGTTGTGGTTGTTGTGGTTCTTGAGGTCGTTGTTGTTGTAGTTGTGGTTGTTGTTGTGGCTGTCGTGGTTGTTGTTGTGGTTGTCGTGGTTGTTGTTGTGGTTGTTGTGGTTGTTGTTGTGGTTGTTGTGGTTCTTGAGGTCGTTGTTGTTGTAGTTGTGGTTGTTGTTGTGGCTGTCGTGGTTGTTGTTGTGGTTGTCGTGGTTGTTGTTGTGGTTGTTGTGGTTCTTGAGGTCGTTGTTGTTGTCGCTGTTGTTGTTGTCGTTGTTGTTGTTGTCGTTGTTGTTGTTGTTGTTGTAGTGGTCGTTGTCGTGGTTGTAGTAGTCGTTGTTGTTGTTGTTGTTGTAGTGGTCGTTGTCGTGGTTGTAGTAGTTGTTGTCGTTGTGGTTGTGGTTGTCGTTGTTGTTGTTGTCTTTCTCGTTGTTGTTGTTGTTGTTGTTGTTGTGGTTGTTGTTGTGGTTGTTGTGGTTCTTGAGGTCGTTGTTGTTGTGGTGGTGGCTGTTGTTGTTGTCGTTGTTGTTGTTGTAGTTATAGTAGTCGTGGTTATCGTGGTTGTCGTGGTTGTCGTGGTTATCGTGGTTGTCGTGGTCGTTGTCGTGGTTGTAGTAGTTGTTGTAGTTGTCGTGGTTGTGGTTGTCGTTGTAGTAGTTGTTGTTGTGGTTGTAGTAGTCGTTGTTGTCGTAGTTGTTGTTGTGGTTGTTGTTGTGGTTGTCGTGGTTGTTGTTGTGGTTGTTGTTGTGGTTGTTGTTGTGGTTGTCGTGGTTGTTGTTGTGGTTGTTGTGGTTGTCGTGGTTGTTGTAGTTGCCGTCGTGGTTGTCGTGGTCGTGGTTGTTGTTGTGGTTGTCGTGGTTGTTGTTGTGGTTATAGTAGTGGTTGTTGTCGTCGTAGTTGTTGTCGTTGTAGTAGTAGTTGTTGTAGTTGTCGTGGTTGTGGTTGTCGTGGTTGTGGTTGTAGTTGTCGTTGTGGTTCTTGAGGTCGTTGTTGTTGTCGTTGTTGTGGTCGTTGTCGTGGTTGTAGTAGTCGTTGTTGTTGTTGTTGTTGTTGTTGTAGTGGTCGTTGTCGTGGTTGTAGTAGTCGTTGTTGTTGTTGTTGTTGTTGTTGTAGTGGTCGTTGTCGTGGTTGTAGTAGTCGTTGTCGTTGTGGTTGTGGTTGTCGTTGTTGTTGTTGTCGTTCTCGTTGTTGTTGTTGTTGTTGTTGTTGTTGTCGTTGTTGTGGTTGTTGTTGTGGTTGTTGTGGTTCTTGAGGTCGTTGTTGTTGTGGTGGTGGTTGTTGTTGTTGTCGTCGTTGTTGTTGTTGTAGTTATAGTAGTCGTGGTTATCGTGGTTGTCGTGGTTGTCGTGGTCGTTGTCGTGGTTGTAGTAGTTGTTGTAGTTGTCGTGGTTGTGGTTGTCGTTGTAGTAGTTGTTGTTGTGGTTGTAGTAGTCGTTGTTGTCGTAGTTGTTGTTGTGGTTGTTGTTGTGGTTGTGGTTGTTGTTGTGGCTGTCGTGGTTGTTGTTGTGGTTGTCGTGGTTGTTGTTGTGGTTGTTGTGGTTCTTGAGGTCGTTGTTGTTGTCGCTGTTGTTGTTGTCGTTGTTGTTGTTGTCGTTGTTGTTGTTGTTGTTGTAGTGGTCGTTGTCGTGGTTGTAGTAGTCGTTGTTGTTGTTGTTGTTGTTGTTGTAGTGGTCGTTGTCGTGGTTGTAGTAGTTGTTGTCGTTGTGGTTGTGGTTATCGTTGTTGTTGTTGTCTTTCTCGTTGTTGTTGTTGTTGTTGTTGTTGTGGTTGTTGTTGTGGTTGTTGTGGTTCTTGAGGTCGTTGTTGTTGTGGTGGTGGCTGTTGTTGTTGTCGTTGTTGTTGTTGTAGTTATAGTAGTCGTGGTTATCGTGGTTGTCGTGGTTGTCGTGGTTATCGTGGTTGTCGTGGTCGTTGTCGTGGTTGTAGTAGTTGTTGTAGTTGTCGTGGTTGTGGTTGTCGTTGTAGTAGTTGTTGTTGTGGTTGTAGTAGTCGTTGTTGTCGTAGTTGTTGTTGTGGTTGTTGTTGTGGTTGTCGTGGTTGTTGTTGTGGTTGTTGTTGTGGTTGTTGTTGTGGTTGTCGTGGTTGTTGTTGTGGTTGTTGTGGTTGTCGTGGTTGTTGTAGTTGCCGTCGTGGTTGTCGTGGTCGTGGTTGTTGTTGTGGTTGTCGTGGTTGTTGTTGTGGTTATAGTAGTGGTTGTTGTCGTCGTAGTTGTTGTCGTTGTAGTAGTAGTTGTTGTAGTTGTCGTGGTTGTGGTTGTCGTGGTTGTGGTTGTAGTTGTCGTTGTGGTTCTTGAGGTCGTTGTTGTTGTCGTTGTTGTGGTCGTTGTCGTGGTTGTAGTAGTCGTTGTTGTTGTTGTTGTTGTTGTTGTAGTGGTCGTTGTCGTGGTTGTAGTAGTCGTTGTTGTTGTTGTTGTTGTTGTTGTAGTGGTCGTTGTCGTGGTTGTAGTAGTCGTTGTCGTTGTGGTTGTGGTTGTCGTTGTTGTTGTTGTCGTTCTCGTTGTTGTTGTTGTTGTTGTTGTTGTCGTTGTTGTGGTTGTTGTTGTGGTTGTTGTGGTTCTTGAGGTCGTTGTTGTTGTGGTGGTGGTTGTTGTTGTTGTCGTCGTTGTTGTTGTTGTAGTTATAGTAGTCGTGGTTATCGTGGTTGTCGTGGTTGTCGTGGTCGTTGTCGTGGTTGTAGTAGTTGTTGTAGTTGTCGTGGTTGTGGTTGTCGTTGTAGTAGTTGTTGTTGTGGTTGTAGTAGTCGTTGTTGTCGTAGTTGTTGTTGTGGTTGTTGTTGTGGTTGTCGTGGTTGTTGTTGTGGTTGTCGTGGTTGTTGTTGTGGTTGTTGTTGTGGTGCTGCTTATAGTGGTCGTGGGGAATTGAGCGGTTGTGGTAGTAGTGGTTGTTGTGGTGCTGCTTATAGTGGTCGTGGGGAATTGAGCGGTTGTGGTAGTAGTGGTTGTTGTGGTGCTGCTTATAGTGGTCGTGGGGAATTGAGCGGTTGTGGTAGTAGTGGTTGTTGCGGTGCTGCTTATAGTGGTCGTGGGGAATTGACCGGTTGTGGTGGTAGTGGTTGTTGTGGTGCTGCTAATAGTGGTCGCGGGAAATTCACCGGTTGTGGTAGTAGTGGTTGTTGTGGTGCTGCTTATAGTGGTCGTGGGGAATTGACCGGTTGTGGTAGTAGTGGTTGTTGTTGTTGTGGTTGTCGTGGTTGTTGTCGTTGTTGTCGTGGTTGTTGTTGTCGTTGTCGTTGTTGTTGTAGTTGTGGTTGTTGTTGTGGTTGTCGTGGTTGTTGTTGTGGTTGTCGTGGTTGTTGTTGTGGTTGTTGTGGTTCTTGAGGTCGTTGTTGTTGTAGTTGTGGTTGTTGTTGTGGCTGTCGTGGTTGTTGTTGTGGTTGTCGTGGTTGTTGTTGTGGTTGTTGTGGTTCTTGAGGTCGTTGTTGTTGTCGCTGTTGTTGTTGTCGTTGTTGTTGTTGTCGTTGTTGTTGTTGTTGTTGTTGTAGTGGTCGTTGTCGTGGTTGTAGTAGTCGTTGTTGTTGTTGTTGTTGTTGTTGTAGTGGTCGTTGTCGTGGTTGTAGTAGTTGTTGTCGTTGTGGTTGTGGTTGTCGTTGTTGTTGTTGTCTTTCTCGTTGTTGTTGTTGTTGTTGTTGTTGTGGTTGTTGTTGTGGTTGTTGTGGTTCTTGAGGTCGTTGTTGTTGTGGTGGTGGCTGTTGTTGTTGTCGTTGTTGTTGTTGTAGTTATAGTAGTCGTGGTTATCGTGGTTGTCGTGGTTGTCGTGGTTATCGTGGTTGTCGTGGTCGTTGTCGTGGTTGTAGTAGTTGTTGTAGTTGTCGTGGTTGTGGTTGTCGTTGTAGTAGTTGTTGTTGTGGTTGTAGTAGTCGTTGTTGTCGTAGTTGTTGTTGTGGTTGTTGTTGTGGTTGTCGTGGTTGTTGTTGTGGTTGTTGTTGTGGTTGTTGTTGTGGTTGTCGTGGTTGTTGTTGTGGTTGTTGTGGTTGTCGTGGTTGTTGTAGTTGCCGTCGTGGTTGTCGTGGTCGTGGTTGTTGTTGTGGTTGTCGTGGTTGTTGTTGTGGTTATAGTAGTCGTTGTTGTCGTCGTAGTTGTTGTCGTTGTAGTAGTAGTTGTTGTAGTTGTCGTGGTTGTGGTTGTCGTGGTTGTGGTTGTAGTTGTCGTTGTGGTTCTTGAGGTCGTTGTTGTTGTCGTTGTTGTGGTCGTTGTCGTGGTTGTAGTAGTCGTTGTTGTTGTTGTTGTTGTTGTTGTAGTGGTCGTTGTCGTGGTTGTAGTAGTCGTTGTTGTTGTTGTTGTTGTTGTTGTAGTGGTCGTTGTCGTGGTTGTAGTAGTCGTTGTCGTTGTGGTTGTGGTTGTCGTTGTTGTTGTTGTCGTTCTCGTTGTTGTTGTTGTTGTTGTTGTTGTTGTCGTTGTTGTGGTTGTTGTTGTGGTTGTTGTGGTTCTTGAGGTCGTTGTTGTTGTGGTGGTGGTTGTTGTTGTTGTCGTCGTTGTTGTTGTTGTAGTTATAGTAGTCGTGGTTATCGTGGTTGTCGTGGTTGTCGTGGTCGTTGTCGTGGTTGTAGTAGTTGTTGTAGTTGTCGTGGTTGTGGTTGTCGTTGTAGTAGTTGTTGTTGTGGTTGTAGTAGTCGTTGTTGTCGTAGTTGTTGTTGTGGTTGTTGTTGTGGTTGTCGTGGTTGTTGTTGTGGTTGTCGTGGTTGTTGTTGTGGTTGTTGTTGTGGTTGTTGTGGTTGTCGTGGTTGTTGTAGTTGCCGTCGTGGTTGTCGTGGTTGTCTTGGTCGTGGTTGTTGTTGTGGTTGTCGTGGTTGTTGTTGTGGTTGTCGTGGTTGTTGTTGTGGTTATAGTAGTCGTTGTTGTCGTCGTAGTTGTTGTTGTGGTTGTCGTGGTTGTTGTTGTGGTTATAGTAGTCGTTGTTGTCGTCGTAGTTGTTGTCGTTGTAGTAGTAGTTGTTGTAGTTGTCGTGGTTGTGGTTGTCGTGGTTGTGGTTGTAGTTGTCGTTGTGGTTCTTGAGGTCGTTGTTGTTGTCGTTGTTGTTGTTGTCGTTGTCGTGGTTGTAGTTGTCGTTGTGGTTCTTGAGGTCGTTGTTGTTGTCGTTGTTGTGGTCGTTGTCGTGGTTGTAGTAGTCGTTGTTGTTGTTGTTGTTGTTGTTGTAGTGGTCGTTGTCGTGGTTGTAGTAGTCGTTGTCGTTGTGGTTGTTGTTGTTGTTGTTGTTGTTGTTGTTGTTGTTGTCGTTGTTGTGGTTGTTGTTGTGGTTGTTGTGGTTCTTGAGGTCGTTGTTGTTGTGGTGGTGGTTGTTGTTGTTGTCGTCGTTGTTGTTGTTGTAGTTATAGTAGTCGTGGTTATCGTGGTTGTCGTGGTTGTCGTGGTCGTTGTCGTGGTTGTAGTAGTTGTTGTAGTTGTCGTGGTTGTGGTTGTCGTTGTAGTAGTTGTTGTTGTGGTTGTAGTAGTCGTTGTTGTCGTAGTTGTTGTTGTGGTTGTTGTTGTGGTTGTCGTGGTTGTTGTTGTGGTTGTCGTGGTTGTTGTTGTGGTTGTTGTTGTGGTTGTTGTGGTTGTCGTGGTTGTTGTAGTTGCCGTCGTGGTTGTCGTGGTTGTCTTGGTCGTGGTTGTTGTTGTGGTTGTCGTGGTTGTTGTTGTGGTTGTCGTGGTTGTTGTTGTGGTTATAGTAGTCGTTGTTGTCGTCGTAGTTGCCGTCGTGGTTGTCGTGGTCGTGGTTGTTGTTGTGGTTGTCGTGGTTGTTGTTGTGGTTATAGTAGTCGTTGTTGTCGTCGTAGTTGTTGTCGTTGTAGTAGTAGTTGTTGTAGTTGTCGTGGTTGTGGTTGTCGTGGTTGTGGTTGTAGTTGTCGTTGTGGTTCTTGAGGTCGTTGTTGTTGTCGTTGTTGTGGTCGTTGTCGTGGTTGTAGTAGTCGTTGTTGTTGTTGTTGTTGTTGTTGTAGTGGTCGTTGTTGTTGTTGTTGTTGTTGTTGTTGTTGTTGTTGTTGTTGTTGTAGTGGTCGTTGTCGTGGTTGTAGTAGTCGTTGTCGTTGTGGTTGTGGTTGTCGTTGTTGTTGTTGTCGTTCTCGTTGTTGTTGTTGTTGTTGTTGTTGTTGTCGTTGTTGTGGTTGTTGTTGTGGTTGTTGTTGTCGTTGTGGTTCTTGAGGTCGTTGTTGTTGTCGTTGTTGTTGTTGTCGTTGTCGTTGTTGTTGTTGTCGTTGTTGTTGTTGTTGTAGTGGTCGTTGTCGTGGTTGTAGTAGTCGTTGTTGTTGTTGTTGTTGTTGTTGTAGTGGTCGTTGTCGTGGTTGTAGTAGTCGTTGTCGTTGTGGTTGTGGTTGTTGTCGTTCTCGTTGTTGTTGTTGTTGTTGTTGTTGTTGTTGTTGTTGTTGTCGTTGTTGTGGTTGTTGTTGTGGTTGTTGTGGTTCTTGAGGTCGTTGTTGTTGTGGTGGTGGTTGTTGTTGTTGTCGTCGTTGTTGTTGTTGTAGTTATAGTAGTCGTTGTCGTGGTCGTTGTCGTGGTTGTAGTAGTTGTTGTAGTTGTCGTGGTTGTGGTTGTCGTTGTAGTAGTTGTTGTCGTCGTAGTTGTTGTCGTTGTAGTAGTAGTTGTTGTAGTTGTCGTGGTTGTGGTTGTCGTGGTTGTTGTAGTTGCCGTTGTTGTTGTTGTCGTGGTCGTGGTTGTTGTTGTCGTTGTGGTTCTTGAGGTCGTTGTTGTTGTTGTCGTTGTCGTTGTTGTCGTTGTTGTTGTTGTTGTTGTTGTAGTGGTCGTTGTCGTGGTTGTAGTAGTCGTTGTCGTTGTGGTTGTGGTTGTCGTTGTTGTTGTAGTTGCCGTCGTGGTTGTCGTGGTCGTGGTTGTAGTAGTCGTTGTTGTCGTAGTTGTTGTTGTGGTTGTTGTTGTGGTTGTCGTGGTTGTTGTTGTGGTTGTCGTGGTTGTTGTTGTGGTTGTTGTTGTGGTTGTTGTGGTTGTCGTGGTTGTTGTAGTTGCCGTCGTGGTTGTCGTGGTTGTCTTGGTCGTGGTTGTTGTTGTGGTTGTCGTGGTTGTTGTTGTGGTTGTCGTGGTTGTTGTTGTGGTTATAGTAGTCGTTGTTGTCGTCGTAGTTGCCGTCGTGGTTGTCGTGGTCGTGGTTGTTGTTGTGGTTGTCGTGGTTGTTGTTGTGGTTATAGTAGTCGTTGTTGTCGTCGTAGTTGTTGTCGTTGTAGTAGTAGTTGTTGTAGTTGTCGTGGTTGTGGTTGTCGTGGTTGTGGTTGTAGTTGTCGTTGTGGTTCTTGAGGTCGTTGTTGTTGTCGTTGTTGTGGTCGTTGTCGTGGTTGTAGTAGTCGTTGTTGTTGTTGTTGTTGTTGTTGTAGTGGTCGTTGTCGTGGTTGTAGTAGTCGTTGTTGTTGTTGTTGTTGTTGTTGTTGTGGTCGTTGTCGTGGTTGTAGTAGTCGTTGTCGTTGTGGTTGTGGTTGTCGTTGTTGTTGTTGTCGTTCTCGTTGTTGTTGTTGTTGTTGTTGTTGTTGTCGTTGTTGTGGTTGTTGTTGTGGTTGTTGTTGTCGTTGTGGTTCTTGAGGTCGTTGTTGTTGTCGTTGTTGTTGTTGTCGTTGTCGTTGTTGTTGTTGTCGTTGTTGTTGTTGTTGTAGTGGTCGTTGTCGTGGTTGTAGTAGTCGTTGTTGTTGTTGTTGTTGTTGTTGTAGTGGTCGTTGTCGTGGTTGTAGTAGTCGTTGTCGTTGTGGTTGTGGTTGTTGTCGTTCTCGTTGTTGTTGTTGTTGTTGTTGTTGTTGTTGTCGTTGTTGTGGTTGTTGTTGTGGTTGTTGTGGTTCTTGAGGTCGTTGTTGTTGTGGTGGTGGTGGTTGTTGTTGTTGTCGTCGTTGTTGTTGTTGTAGTTATAGTAGTCGTGGTTATCGTGGTTGTCGTGGTCGTTGTCGTGGTTGTAGTAGTTGTTGTAGTTGTCGTGGTTGTGGTTGTCGTTGTAGTAGTTGTTGTCGTCGTAGTTGTTGTCGTTGTAGTAGTAGTTGTTGTAGTTGTCGTGGTTGTGGTTGTCGTGGTTGTTGTAGTTGCCGTCGTGGTTGTCGTGGTCGTGGTTGTTGTTGTGGTTGTCGTGGTTGTTGTTGTGGTTATAGTAGTCGTTGTTGTGGTTGTAGTAGTTGTTGTAGTTGTCGTGGTTGTGGTTGTCGTTGTAGTAGTTGTTGTCGTCGTAGTTGTTGTCGTTGTAGTAGTAGTTGTTGTAGTTGTCGTGGTTGTGGTTGTCGTGGTTGTTGTAGTTGCCGTCGTGGTTGTCGTGGTCGTGGTTGTTGTTGTGGTTGTCGTGGTTGTTGTTGTGGTTATAGTAGTCGTTGTTGTCGTCGTAGTTGTTGTTGTGGTTGTCGTGGTTGTTGTTGTGGTTATAGTAGTCGTTGTTGTCGTCGTAGTTGTTGTCGTTGTAGTAGTAGTTGTTGTAGTTGTCGTGGTTGTGGTTGTCGTGGTTGTGGTTGTAGTTGTCGTTGTGGTTCTTGAGGCCGTTGTTGTTGTCGTTGTTGTTGTTGTCGTTGTCGTGGTTGTAGTTGTCGTTGTGGTTCTTGAGGTCGTTGTTGTTGTTGTCGTTGTCGTTGTTGTCGTTGTTGTTGTTGTTGTTGTTGTAGTGGTCGTTGTCGTGGTTGTAGTAGTCGTTGTCGTTGTGGTTGTGGTTGTCGTTGTTGTTGTAGTTGCCGTCGTGGTTGTCGTGGTCGTGGTTGTTGTTGTGGTTGTCGTGGTTGTTGTTGTGGTTATAGTAGTCGTTGTTGTCGTCGTAGTTGTTGTCGTTGTAGTAGTAGTTGTTGTAGTTGTCGTGGTTGTGGTTGTCGTGGTTGTGGTTGTAGTTGTCGTTGTGGTTCTTGAGGCCGTTGTTGTTGTCGTTGTTGTTGTTGTCGTTGTCGTGGTTGTAGTTGTCGTTGTGGTTCTTGAGGTCGTTGTTGTTGTTGTCGTTGTCGTTGTTGTCGTTGTTGTTGTTGTTGTTGTTGTAGTGGTCGTTGTCGTGGTTGTAGTAGTCGTTGTTGTTGTTGTTGTTGTTGTAGTGGTCGTTGTCGTGGTTGTAGTAGTCGTTGTCGTTGTGGTTGTGGTTGTCGTTGTTGTTGTAGTTGCCGTCGTGGTTGTCGTGGTCGTGGTTGTTGTTGTGGTTGTCGTGGTTGTTGTTGTGGTTGTTGTTGTTGTTGTTGTTGTTGTTGTTGTTGTCGTTGTTGTGGTTGTTGTTGTGGTTGTTGTGGTTCTTGAGGTCGTTGTTGTTGTGGTGGTGGTTGTTGTTGTTGTCGTCGTTGTTGTTGTTGTAGTTATAGTAGTCGTGGTTATCGTGGTTGTCGTGGTCGTTGTCGTGGTTGTAGTAGTTGTTGTCGTTGTCGTTGTTGTTGTTGTTGTTGTTGTTGTTGTCGTTGTTGTTGCGGTTGTTGTGGTTCTTGAGGTCGTTGTTGTTGTAGTGGTCGTTGTCGTGGTTGTAGTAGTCGTTGTTGTTGTTGTTGTTGTTGTTGTTGTTGTAGTGGTCGTTGTCGTGGTTGTAGTAGTCGTTGTGGTTGTGGTTGTTGTCGTTCTCGTTGTTGTTGTTGTTGTTGTTGTTGTTGTTGTTGTTGTCGTTGTTGTGGTTGTTGTTGTGGTTGTTGTGGTTCTTGAGGTCGTTGTTGTTGTGGTGGTGGTTGTTGTTGTTGTCGTCGTTGTTGTTGTTGTAGTTATAGTAGTCGTGGTTATCGTGGTTGTCGTGGTCGTTGTCGTGGTTGTAGTAGTTGTTGTAGTTGTCGTGGTTGTGGTTGTCGTTGTAGTAGTTGTTGTCGTCGTAGTTGTTGTCGTTGTAGTAGTAGTTGTTGTAGTTGTCGAGGTTGTGGTTGTCGTGGTTGTTGTAGTTGCCGTCGTGGTTGTCGTGGTCGTGGTTGTTGTTGTGGTTGTCGTGGTTGTTGTTGTGGTTATAGTAGTCGTTGTTGTGGTTGTAGTAGTTGTTGTAGTTGTCGTGGTTGTGGTTGTCGTTGTAGTAGTTGTTGTCGTCGTAGTTGTTGTCGTTGTAGTAGTAGTTGTTGTAGTTGTCGTGGTTGTGGTTGTCGTGGTTGTTGTAGTTGCCGTCGTGGTTGTCGTGGTCGTGGTTGTTGTTGTGGTTGTCGTGGTTGTTGTTGTGGTTATAGTAGTCGTTGTTGTCGTCGTAGTTGTTGTTGTGGTTGTCGTGGTTGTTGTTGTGGTTATAGTAGTCGTTGTTGTCGTCGTAGTTGTTGTCGTTGTAGTAGTAGTTGTTGTAGTTGTCGTGGTTGTGGTTGTCGTGGTTGTGGTTGTAGTTGTCGTTGTGGTTCTTGAGGCCGTTGTTGTTGTCGTTGTTGTTGTTGTCGTTGTCGTGGTTGTAGTTGTCGTTGTGGTTCTTGAGGTCGTTGCTGTTGTCGTTGTCGTTGTTGTCGTTGTCGTTGTTGTTGTTGTTGTTGTTGTTGTAGTGGTCGTTGTCGTGGTTGTAGTAGTCGTTGTTGTTGTTGTTGTTGTTGTTGTTGTTGTAGTGGTCGTTGTCGTGGTTGTAGTAGTCGTTGTCGTTGTGGTTGTGGTTGTCGTTGTTGTTGTTGTCGTTCTCGTTGTTGTTGTTGTTGTTGTTGTTGTTGTCGTTGTTGTTGTGGTTGTTGTGGTTCTTGAGGTCGTTGTTGTTGTGGTGGTGGTTGTTGTTGTTGTCGTCGTTGTTGTTGTTGTGATGGTTGTTGTTGTTGTCGTCGTTGTTGTTGTTGTAGTTATAGTAGTCGTGGTTATCGTGGTTGTCGTGGTCGTTGTCGTGGTTGTAGTAGTTGTTGTAGTTGTCGTGGTTGTGGTTGTCGTTGTAGTAGTTGTTGTCGTCGTAGTTGTTGTCGTTGTAGTAGTAGTTGTTGTAGTTGTCGTGGTTGTGGTTGTCGTGGTTGTTGTAGTTGCCGTCGTGGTTGTCGTGGTCGTGGTTGTTGTTGTGGTTGTCGTGGTTGTTGTTGTGGTTATAGTAGTCGTTGTTGTCGTCGTAGTTGTTGTTGTGGTTGTCGTGGTTGTTGTTGTGGTTATAGTAGTCGTTGTTGTCGTCGTAGTTGTTGTCGTTGTAGTAGTAGTTGTTGTAGTTGTCGTGGTTGTGGTTGTCGTGGTTGTGGTTGTAGTTGTCGTTGTGGTTCTTGAGGTCGTTGTTGTTGTCGTTGTTGTTGTTGTCGTTGTCGTGGTTGTAGTTGTCGTTGTGGTTCTTGAGGTCGTTGTTGTTGTCGTTGTTGTTGTTGTCGTTGTCGTTGTTGTCGTTGTTGTTGTTGTTGTTGTTGTTGTTGTTGTAGTGGTCGTTGTCGTGGTTGTAGTAGTCGTTGTTGTTGTTGTTGTAGTGGTCGTTGTCGTGGTTGTAGTAGTCGTTGTCGTTGTGGTTGTGGTTGTCGTTGTTGTTGTTGTCGTTCTCGTTGTTGTTGTTGTTGTTGTTGTTGTCGTTGTTGTGGTTGTTGTGGTTCTTGAGGTCGTTGTTGTTGTGGTGGTGGTTGTTGTCGTCGTTGTTGTTGTTGTAGTTATAGTAGTCGTGGTTCTCGTGGTTGTCGTGGTTGTAGTAGTTGTTGTAGTTGTCGTGGTTGTGGTTGTCGTTGTAGTAGTTGTTGTTGTGGTTGCAGTGGTCGTTGTTGTCGTAGTTGTTGTTGTGGTTGTTGTCGTAGTTGTTGTTGTGGTTGTTGTTGTGGTTGTCGTGGTTGTTGTTGTGGTTGTCGTGGTTGTTGTTGTGGTTGTCGTGGTTGTTGTTGTGGTTGTCGTGGTTGTTGTTGTGGTTGTTGTTGTGGTTGTTGTGGTTGTCGTGGTTGTTGTAGTTGCCGTCGTGGTTGTCGTGGTCGTGGTTGTTGTTGTGGTTGTCGTGGTTGTTGTTGTGGTTGTCGTGGTTGTTGTTGTGGATATAGTAGTCGTTGTTGTCGTTGTCGTTGTAGTAGTAGTTGTTGTAGTAGTAGTTGTTGTAGTTGTCGTGGTTGTAGTTGTCGTTGTTGTTGTTGTTGTCGTTGTTGTGGTGGTTGTTGTTATGGTGGTTGTGGTTGTAGTTGTCGTTGTGGTTCTTGAGGTCGTTGTTGTTGTTGTCGTTGTCGTGGTTGTAGTTGTCGTTGTGGTTCTTGAGGTCGTTGTTGTTGTCGTTGTTGTTGTTGTCGTTGTCGTTGTTGTTGTTGTTGTTGTTGTCGTTGTTGTTGTTGTTGTTGTTGTAGTGGTCGTTGTCGTGGTTGTAGTAGTCGTTGTTGTTGTTGTTGTTGTTGTTGTTGTAGTGGTCGTTGTCGTGGTTGTAGTAGTCGTTGTCGTTGTGGTTGTGGTTGTCGTTGTTGTTGTTGTCGTTCTCGTTGTTGTTGTTGTTGTTGTTGTTGTTGTTGTTGTCGTTGTTGTGGTTGTTGTTGTGGTTGTTGTGGTTCTTGAGGTCGTTGTTGTTGTGGTGGTGGTTGTTGTTGTTGTCGTCGTTGTTGTTGTTGTAGTTATAGTAGTCGTGGTTATCGTGGTTGTCGTGGTCGTTGTCGTGGTTGTAGTAGTTGTTGTAGTTGTCGTGGTTGTGGTTGTCGTTGTAGTAGTTGTTGTTGTGGTTGTAGTAGTCGTTGTTGTCGTAGTTGTTGTTGTGGTTGTTGTTGTGGTTGTCGTGGTTGTTGTTGTGGTTGTCGTGGTTGTTGTGGTTGTCGTGGTTGTTGTAGTTGCCGTCGTGGTTGTCGTGGTCGTGGTTGTTGTTGTGGTTGTCGTGGTTGTTGTTGTGGTTGTCGTGGTTGTTGTTGTGGTTATAGTAGTCGTTGTTGTCGTCGTAGTTGTTGTCGTTGTAGTAGTAGTTGTAGTTGTCGTGGTTGTGGTTGTAGTTGTCGTGGTTGTAGTTGTCGTTGTTGTTGTTGTTGTTGTCGTTGTTGTGGTGGTTGTTGTTATGGTGGTTGGGGGTGGTGTTGTCTTTTTGGGTTTTCTTCTCCTGGGTATGTTCACTACAGAGACGACAAGGACATGCTTTTTGAAAGGTTCACACTTTGTCCGACTCATGATCAGTTCACTCTATCTGTACAGGCCTTGGACTTCAATTGTACATCAGGCGACAGAGCAAACCTTGGTCTCTTTGCAACATTCACTTTCTCGCATTAGTATCTGGGACCACCCTTCCAAACTATCGCACTACAATTTCTACTTGAACTAAATTCAGATGAAGTGGATGAGAAAAATTACAAGGACTTAAGAAAATCGCTTATCTCTTTTTCAAGCACAAGCGACGAAGAGCGGCTCCACGATTTTTCAACAGAAAACGGGGACAAAATTTCCACGCGAACGTAAGAACTTGTTCGCTACTCTTTCATCACACGAAGTACGTTCTGCAAGATATTTACCTTGAATTACCCGATCGAGGAGAAACGAAGTCCTGAAAGCCGAAAGAAGGACCAATCTTGCCTTGAGTCGACCGTTAGTAGTCAATCCCAACCCCTAGGTATATTATATACATTCAAAATTCTTATTCATATTCAAATCTTAGGGATCTTGATTTCAAATCAAGATTGTTGATCTGAGTTTTGAATTAGTTTTTATATTTTTCTTCTCCCCCACGCTCAACAAGTTCACATTTTTACCGATTTCAAAAATTAGAGAAGATTTATAAAATAAAGTGTTTGATATTGAAGTATCTGGTTTGGAT